TTCCTTCCTTCCTTCCTTCCTTCCTTCCTTCCTTCCTTCCTCACAAATTGCTTATTTATCAGGACTGCATGAAATTAAGTCAACGGCTGTAACTCTGCTGCAGAGTTTACATGGTTTAAGCTTGGCTGTCTTAGAACCCTTTTTTCCAAGTGTGATTAAGCTCTGCAGGAGAGGCCTTCTTGATCCACATCCACATGGTTTGAGACAGACATGCATGACACAGCTACACTTGCTCCGATTGTGTTGTCTGATTGCTCACACCCACCCACTTGAATGGGTACGCACTTTCATTAACACTTTTCTGTGTTAGAAACTTCATCAAATCTTTCCGTTCAAACTTATTGTCAACTCGTAAATCATTCCTATGCCTGTTTCCGAGTTGCTATAAGAAGGAGTGGCGGGGGGAAGGCCTGAGGGAGCAGTGTGGTAGATGAAGGCCAGAACCACATTCAATGCTTATCTTGTGGAGATTGTAGCCTAGGCTACTGGATCTTCTGCTCACGAAAATCCTTCGTTGGAGATTGTGATTGATGACATCCAGCCCGTGAATGTGTTTCATTGGAGAATTTGATATATGACACATGGGGGGGGGGGAGGATCATAGGTGATAATAAATTATGTGTCTCAGAGTTGGCTTCATACGGGTTAGTGCCGGCATGTTGCTCCTAATAAATCTTTTGAATTCTTTTGTACCTTGGCTTGAGGCTCATGATTTAATTAGGGCAATCGTCAGAACCCTGACACTTATTCCCTGGCAGTTTGGGTATATTTGCCTTCAAATTCCTCTCCTCTGTGGTACTGACCTTCAAGGATGATTTTTTTTCTGTTTATCCCAGGGCAGCACAGATCGTTAGGACCCAGAGATTCAAAGGTGCGAAGTCTCAAAATGGATGCCAGCGTTTGGACCAATGAACTCATCGAGGTAGGAAAGGAGCTGGTGGACAAAGAACAGCAGGAGGAGTCTATTTGACTTAGAAATTCATGATGTTTGATTGCATATTTTAGTACAGCTAGTGGTTCTAGCCGACGATCATTTAAATATGAGCCAGCCCTATGCTGCAGCTGCCAAAAAAGCCAACACAATCCTAGGCTGCATCAACAGAGGGATAGAATCAAGATCACGGGAAGTATTAGTATTGTTTTTCTAAAGCCTTATTAAGAGCACACGTGGAATATTGCATCTAGTTTTGGTTGCCATGGTATAAAGACAGTAGAAAGAGTACAGAGATTTAGACATTTTCTAAAGGAAAAAACACATCCAATCCAAATAACCAGGAAGAATCAGCAGAAATAAGAACTTGTTATTTAACCGTAATTAAATCTCTTGAAGTTCTTACCACCTTTGTAATTTCCACAAAGTAACTTTGGTAAAGGACACAGTGGCTCAGTGGCTAAGATGCTGAGCTCGTCGATCAGAAAGGTCGGCAGTTCGGTGGTTCGAATCCCTAGTGCCACGTAACGGAGTGAGCTCCCGTTTCTTTCCCAGCTTCTGCCAACCTAGCAGTTCGAAAGCATGTAAAAATGCAAGGAGAAAAATAGGGACCCCTTTGGTGGGAAGGGAACAGTGTTCCGTGTGCCTTCGGCATTTAGTCATGCCGGCCACATGACCACGGAGACATCTTTGGACAGCGCTGGTTCTTTGGCTTTGTAATGGAGATGAGCATTGCCCCCTAGAGCCAGAAATGATAGCATGTATGTACGAGGGGGTCCTTTTTTTTTCTAATATCCTTGCCTTGAAGTTCTTACAACCTTTGTAATTTCTACAAAGTAACCTCGGCAAATCTCTTATACTGTATTTCAATTTAAAAGGGTATCCCAAGTTGTTGTGATGTTCATTATTTGTACATCTTTTTTCCATTTTTAAATGATCATCCAAGTGTATCTGTAAATCCAATATTTCTGTCTTGTTATTTTAAGTTGTAATTTTAAAACCCACCTTGGCCTCCAACTCAATTTTCTCCAGAGGTATTTGTTCATCTTCAGTAGTAACTTTTGCTTGCAATAAAGAATGTAAAAGTTCAAGCAATCAAACATTTCCTTTAAAGTAGTCATTTTTGTGCTATAGTAATCAACTTTCAAAGTCTTGTTTTACAACTGATATGTAAACAAGGCTGATTTTCCCCCCACACACAGGAAGGTCTTTCTAATTATCTTCAAAGTCTTTCTTTAAGTCAACTTCACAAAGCCTTCACATTTACAAAGCTTGGCAGAAACAATTTGGAAATCACCCCTTTGCTGCAAGAAATTACCAAAAATTTAAGATCTTACAAAGCTGGAATGGTGGGATTTTGTTTCATTTTAAATGGATTGAAGAGAATTCTCACCCAACAACTGGTGGGCTTGTGATTTTACAGTCTTAAATGAGCAAGAAGAAAACTAAAACTGCAAAGTGATTAAAAAGATGAGGTTGGATCTCATCTTAAATCCTGAAGGGATGATTTAATGCTCAGAACCTGATGGAATCCACTGACTCATATTTATGACGGTTGCAGTGTCCTGGGGTTATGGGATTCCTCTTTTGAGACCTTCTAACAAGCACAGTGAATGAGGAAGCCCGATTCACGTAATGACTGTGGCAAGAATGGTCATAAAATGGGGGCAAAATTCACTTAACCACTTTGCAGCATAAATTTTGGGTTCAATTGTGGTCATAAGTCGAGGACTACCTGTGTTTTGCTTTGATTTAATTTTCTGAATAAAATAAAAAAAAAATAGTCAAAAAAATCAGTTCCTTTCCAAGCTTCTTTAATCTCAATTTCCCCCCTCTATTTCCTTTTGTAGCTTTTTATTTTGATAGGCAACGAAAGGGCCAACAGCTTTTGGGAAGGTAATCTCCAACCAGATGAAAAATTACAAGTGGATGCCCCAGATGACAAGAGGCTAACTTTTATTACCCAAAAATATAAAGAAGGGAAATTCCGAAAAATTACGCTGCTGTTTAAAACCAAAGATGAGTTAAACAAGGTAACCGCGGGTGGAAATGATGAGGATGGGAACAATTTGGGGTCCTTTTTTGTTTTTTTGTTGAAAAAAAAATCTAAAGTGTTTGAGAGAGAAAAGTAGAGGAGAATCTTGTGCTATGCTTTGGGATTAAACGGGGACGGCTTTCTTAATGCAAAGTAATAAGTTCATTAACCTGATGGATAGAAATTAAATGAAATAAATAATCGCAACCCATAATGGCAATGAGCCTGAAGGATGTAGTTTCTATGCATGTAGGGTAACATGACAATACAATATAGAAGGTAGATGTGAATGACCCGGAGTATATCAGAAATATAACAAAAACCAAAACGTAAATAAAAGTCCTTTAATGCAGTGGTCCCCAACCTTTTTTGTACCAGGGACCGGTTTCAAGCAGAAACATTTTTTCAAGGACCGGGGGGGGGGGGGGGGG